GTGGCAGCTAAGCCTAAACAAGAGAACAAATACTTAATTCGTGGCCATAATGTAGTCCTAGCATAAAAGAGAACTAGCCTATTCTAAATTCGTTGGCCGTGATTGTCTGCATGTCATGATCGGGGCTCCGTACAACCGAATATAACCTTAGCCTACCTGTTTATTCATTTATTATGGTATGTAACTAGATCACGTTTTGCCGCACCATGTTTGCGTAGCACATCCTCGTGCTTTCTGGCAATGTGCCGCTTCAGATTCCAATATGAATCTTTACTAACTCTCCATGCACTCCTTCTCAGTTTCTTCTCCCTGCTCATTCTTAACTTAGATTTTTTACTTTACATTTATGTATAAGGCTTGCAACTTTGTTGAAACAATATCTGAACTCCATAACTGCTGTACTATTCTCGATCTCTACAGATTCTCGATCTCGAACAAGCAAATCACCAAACGGCATTCTGGGTTGAGCGAGCGGCGCTGAGCGTTTTGAGCGAGCGGAGCGGAATCTTCAGAAAGCCGCTCTGCGCTCTTAAGGAAATATTACCACTCCGCTCCCTGCTCCGCTCCGCTCACATGCTCTGGTGTGAATACACCCTAAAATTTCAGTACTGACTGGTACCGAAATCAGTACATTTGACAACAGGCAGGGCTGGGCAATATGGCAAAAAATAAAATTCTTTTGAGGTGTGATCCGACTGCTTACCTTGCTCTGCATGAGTCTCAACTCCTCACCAAGATGGCAGTTGACCTTAAGGAGCTGTTGGATCTTTGCTTCGGAGGCAGTGAGGGCACTTTTCACTTCCATGAACTCCTGCACGGTGATGGGGCTGTCCGACAAGTCTGAAGACTCTGAGCTCTTAGAGGAGAGATCATAGTTAAATTTGATCCCACACACTACTATACACCCTGAGGAACGCCTAAAGTTTTTTTGCAATTCGCAATGCAGCGTGCACAGTCACAGCGGCTTTGAGTTGCTTTACAACTGGCATACTTTTTGCACATTATTGGTGGTACTGATTATTATTCTGCACAGTTACCAAGCAGAGACACTTCAGTACAGCCATGACGAACTTTTAGAACTCAATTCTGGAATACATTATCTACAGCTGAGGTATTTATTCCTCTGGAGCCCGTCAGACCACTACCAGGAACTCTCACAGATGTGAGATGGAGGAGGAGACACTGCAGGCAGAAACAGAAGAGAGGAAAGCGAGCGGGTGTGTGGGCCAGGCTAAAGGCTAAAGGCTAACTTGTCCAAGCTCCCGCTTCCTACCATCTTCCTCTCTAATGCACAGTCGACCCGCAACAAGATGGATGAATTACATGTATGGCTGGTGACACATAGGACCATATAAAACTGTTGCAGCACGAACAGCAAGCATTCAAGAGGGTGGTGAGGACAGCGGGGGAAATCATTGGGACGAACCTCCTGGAGATCAGCACAGTCTATACCACCCGCTGTCTGCGGAGTGCGCAAAACATCCTGCGGGATCGATCGCACCCAGCACATCACCTGTTTCTGCTGCTGCCCTCAGGGAAATGATGCCGGGCCATCAGAGCCAGAACCACCAGACTGGCCCGCAGCCTCTATCCCAGTGCAGTAAGACTGTTGAATGTTTTTCTAATATGCATCTAGCCCAGGGGTGTCAAACTCAGTTCCTGGAGGGCCGCTAGTCCCAACCCTGCTCCAACACACATACCATGTAGTTTTCAAATAAGCCTAAATGACTTGATTAGCTGGATCAGGTGTGTTTAATTAGGGTTGAATCTAAACTGTGCAGGGCTGTGTGGCCCTCCAGGAACTGAGTTTGACACCCCTGATCTAGCCCATCACATACACCACACATCTTTTCCTACACTACTGCAATTGCTGAGAACTGGACTATGCATTATTGCAGTATTTACACCATATTTTAAAATCTGCAACATATTTTCATATGGACAATAATTGTTATGTCTCTGCTGTCTTGTCTGTCTGTCTGTTACAAGATTGTGAACCAAATGGTATAAGGTATAATGGATTGCACTTTATGAATACTTACTGCACTTTTACATTGTAGGTTGCTCTGATGTTATCTTGTTGTTATTTATGACAATGACAATAAAGAAAGTAAAGTATGTACCTTGGTCCGCTCATCTTTTCCAGATGTTGGTTCTTGCTCCGTATCCTCATCAGATGCTACACTATCATAATCAGGCTGATCCATCTCTGGACTTTCACTGCCATGACGGTTCCCAATGTCCTTCAGAATTAACTCCACATTATCTGGGCAGAAACAAAGTTGAACTTTATGCATTATACAGTCCATGATAAAAGAAAAACCCAACACCCCATTTAATCACCTTTGAAATTATCAGGAGAATTTCCTTGCTGACGGCGCTTGGCATCAGTTAAAATATCAACAACCAACGTTGCAAACTCATGTGCATTGAACCTTGCGAGCTTCTGACGTCCCTGCAACATAAACACCACAAACAGAGGGAAACTCAAACATTATTAACAAACTGAATCGTTTTAGAAGGTGAGTCTGCATCTTTGTCAATGTACCTGATTCCTAGTGGAGGAATATTCAGGGTTTACAGGGAGGAATGGTACTACTGTGGTGTCCGTTACCAAGGTGCTGTGGTTCTGAGTCGCAAGCCAGACTATAACCGCAAAATAATTACACCATTCAAAATGTAAGGATAAAATCTGAGTTTATACTTTGAGAGAAAAATGGACAGAGATCAGAATACCACTCTTCTAACCTGCATCCGTTTCTCTTCTGTCAACTTCATCATAAACATCCATGGCTAGTTCTTCAAACTGATGATTACTGAGCTGAGAGCAGCACGACAAGGTCATTATACAAACAGCAAATCTTAGGTGTCAAATAGTTGTCGTAATAATCAAAATGTAATAAACAACCCAGAATGTGTGGTGACAAATTAAGGTTGAACTCCAAAAACAGCAGACTCCTGTACAACTTACCGATTGAAGCTTCTTCTTTGCTGCTTTGGCCAATTCTGACAAGTCAAGACTGCTGTACGTAAAAAAAAAAAAATATTATAAGAGGGTAATTCCGTGTCAAATCAACCAAATTTCAGAAACTTCCCCGGCTCAAATTTTTGATTTTGCTAATATTTTTTCTGAACAAAGATAAGGATGTATAGTGATGAAAGCCAAAATATTAAATGTCATGGATGAATATTTACGGAGTAATCCGCTTTTTTGTAGAGGGGGGTCAAAATGGCAATTTTCATCTGAGATTCAGAGCCAATTTACAGGGGGGCTAAAAAATGACTTCAGAAAGATGGGTAGATTGGTAGGTCTATTAGTAAATTCTGTTGACTTTAGCAATCTTTGTTGCATTACGTGCCAATGGTGACCGTTCAAAAATGGGGAAAGACACCTCTTCAAGTTTTATCTCCAAAGTTTGCAGGCCTGTAAGTATTAAAGATATCTTAATGCCCTTTTAGATTCTGGGTCTTTTCTTTTGGCATCTTAATTTTTAAGGCCCTATATGGCTTGGTTCCAGAAATATTGGGATTTCAATATGGCTCCTGGGGTAAATCGTTAAATTGTACACATTTTTAGTAGTCAAAAACTAAATGTGGGTCAATTTGCAAAAATATGATACTTCTTTTTTTTTTTTTTTGTTATTTTAAAGAGGAATGTCTGAAGAACAAATAATGTTGAAACTAGAGATTTATATCGTTTCCTTCTGTCAAAACAACTGCATTGAACATAACGGTCCAAAGTGCCATAAATATTATTTTCCCCAAGTTTGCGTGCCTATAACTCAAGAAGTATTAAAGATATCGCAATATGATTTTAGATTCTAGTTCTTAATAAACTTTTCTTTTGGAATCTTAATTTTCAAGGACCTACATCATTCAGTCCCAAAGATAGGAGGGTCTCAATGAGGCTCCAGATTGTTGAATATTACCTATTTTCAGTGGTCGAAAACCAAATGTTGGTCAATTTGTATACAGCTGATACTTATTAGGTAACAAGGTAACAACATGCTATACATGTATGTGAAATATATATATATACTGAACAAAAATATAAACGCAACACTTTTGTTTTTGCCCCCATTTTTCGTGAGCTGAACTCAAAGATCTAAGACTTTTTCTATGTACACAAAAGGCCTATTTCTCTCAAATATTGTTCACAAATCTGTCTAAATCTGTGTTAGTGAGCACTTCTCCTTTGCCGAGATAATCCACCTCACAGGTGTGGCATATCAAGATGCTGATTAGACAGCATGATTATTGCACAGGTGTGCTTTCGGCTGGCCACAATAAAAGGCCACTCTAAAATGTGCAGTTTTATCACACAGCACAATGCCACAGATGTCGCAAGTTTTGATGGAGCGTGCAATTGGCTTGCTGACCGCAGGAATGTCCACAAGAGCTGTTGCCCTTGAATTGAATGTTCATTTCTCTACCATAAGCCGTCTCCAAAGGCGTTTCAGAGAATTTGGCAGTACATCCAACCGGCCTCACAACCGCAGACCACGTGTAACCACACCAGCCCAGGACCT